GTACCTAAAAATACTAAAGAATTAGGGCAAAATATTCATTTCAAGGTCACCGAAAATGATTTGAACACAAATACAAAATTAAAACTAATTTGAATACTTTAGTAAAGTGGCGATTAAATAGGTTAATTGCTAAACCTACATCACTTATATTGGAATAAGAATTAATGCAGATATACTCTCCCTCCCAGGAGCATGCCCACGCCACCCTCCTCCCTCTTTCCTCACTTTCCTCACAGGCAGGCATCTCCTAAACTCTAAGACCCCACAAGGCTTGCAACCAGGGCAGCTATGGGCACTGGCAGCTCATCCGAGGCAAACTCCCTGAACCTGTCCCGGAGGACCCTTGTACTCTGACTTCTTAGTGAGCCCAAACAGTCCAGTCTAGGCTCATGTTCCCAGCCTTTTCTTATTTCACTTCCCCAGCTTTAATAAACATCTTAAAAAAAAAAAAAAAAAAAAAAAAAAAAAAAGACAGCTCTGGCGGTTTCAGTGCATGAGTGTCATTCTGCAGACTGAAGGTTCACAGATTTGAAACCAGTCAAGGGGCATATGCCAGGGTTACAGGCTCAATCCCCAGGGTAGAGACAGCCGATCAATGATTCTCTTTCATCATTGATGTTTCTTTTTCTCTCTCCCTCTCCCTTCTTCTTGGGGTGGGGGTGGTGGTGGGACAATGCAAAATAAAAATTTGTAAAAAAGGGTTATAATACTAAGAAATTCTTAAAAATTGGGCAAACTATTAGAAAAGAGAGACATTAATAATTTGTTCATAATAATTTTTACCACTTGAGACAAAACTGATAGAAAATCTCCTGTGGGAATAAGTTGTTTCTAAATACAAATTACTTGACAACTACTCAAAGTTCATATACTGTAAGACTTAGTATTCCTTACTAAGGTAACAATGACAAACACCAGAAATGACAGCACTGCAGTAATTTCAAGGCTTCTAATTTTATATTAAACGTGGTAATAACTGAATGGTACTTGGATAACAATTAGTAATCAATTTTCACATTATAAGATATTAATAGCTCATATCCAAATATCATTATCCAATAAGTGAATATTGGTTATTAAGAGTGTCTGCAGGCCAACACTCTTATCCACTGAACCAAACCCGCTAATATGAGCTAATAATAATGTTTACAGTCTTCACAACTACTCACAGATGTGACTTACCATAAGAAATTAATTTTGAAGAGTAGTTCCTTCCCTTATTAAATCTTAGAAAATTTTATTTTCAGAGATTGGTAAATTGAAAAGGCTACTGAGAACTTCAGTTAAAATACAATAAAAAAAAATTAAACACGTCCCATAAGTATTGAAGCAAATCAGAAATTGTTCAGCCTTGAACAATTTGGTTAAAATGATTAAATTCAAGTCAAGCACACACAAAGATCCAAGTCAAAGAGACCTCACTAGATCCATAGAATCTAACATACACTCATGAAATTTAGCTTAATATTAATAAATCATGAAGGGATTACTTTATATGATCCTTAAGAATACAAATAAGGCTGTGCAAGCAACTTTATTCTGAGTCTTACAAATCTGTTATTTTGTGTACCTGAACACTTAAAAAATGAATTTTCATCTGTATGTATATATCCAGAATGAACTTTTAAACTCCTCTCTCTCATGATACAGTAAAAGCTCAGTACTATACTTCCCTAATAAAACTTGCATCATCTTGACATCAATTCTTTTCCCCCCCTATTTTATGCACAAAAAAATTAGTTGATTTTTACCAATGAACTGGTAAAATCAAAAGCAACTAGAACTTAAAAATCACACAGCTTCTTAATATTTTATTCATAGCATTCTTTATACAGAAGCTTCACTGATACTAAAGCATCCTGTGGGGTAAAACACAAAATGATATTAATTATAAACAAAAAACAAAGCACTTTTGACTTTTAAAAATTATATACATAGGTATATATTTATATTGACAAAAAGCATCACAATTATTACTGTATAAAAAAAAAAACTAAAAATAACCATGTAAAGCTAAGGCCTAAATTCTTATTCTAATTTTTCCCTTTCATTTATATCTAAGAGATATTAGAAATTTAATTCTAATACCTCAAATAAAATGTCTACATTATTTACAAACAGTATAGAAAATTAAAAGCTGCTATTCAGGTTAGACTGCTATTACCTACTGTTTTTACATTGCAAATGTTGGGAGGGGGAGGGAGAAACACTACTAGCAAATTCCATTTCAAATAGAAGTATTTTTGTGCCTGAAATTTTGTTCTAAATTTAATTATATATTCTAATTGTTAAACAGCATTTGACTTTCAATAAATCTGAGTTTGAAAGAGTACCACTATACTTCTTCATATTACTAATATAGATACTATTAAGTACAATATTTTAGTAACTACAAGCTTAAATGAAACAATGGCAACATGGGTGTAGATGGAATTTTATTTAAAATTGTAAAATATGCCTTAATGTTTACCCATAATTATGAGACTAACAGTCTTTCCATCCTTTAAGAAGTCTCATATATATGTTCCTAAATGATGAAACCTTCCAATAACTTACCAGAAAAAAGTTTTATTATATTATTCTGTTCTTAGAATTATTATTCTTATATTTAAAAACATATTTTCTAAACCCTTGGTAAAATAAACACAATCAATTCAGTGTAACAGACTGAGGTTTAAACTGCACTTTAATTTTCAATTAAATGTAATCTTCTGGTTAGTTGAACCAAATGTAGACTTTGAAATGACTCACTCTGAAGATTTTCAAATCAATTAGAGTATGCATAAAAAAGTGGAGGTAAGTTTTAGGGAAGGTATAAGGTAGTTAATGTAGAAAATGATAAATGCTAGTTTTAATTACAAAGATGATTCTAAATGAACATGAAAGTTAAATTAACACAGTATAAAAGAGAATAGCTTAAATAAACTGGGATTCACATATTACAATAGCCAAGTTATGAGAAAGTGAACTGAAGACACAAATAGTTCTGAAAATTCTCTTTTCAGCCTACTTCCAAAGAAATGGTCAGGCTTTTTTCCTGTACATAGTTTTGAGCTTTGTCTATACCATATATAGTAGAAAAATAAATTTTTTAGCAACCTAGAAACAGTTTATAAAACTCTTAAAGTTTACTTTTCTTTGCCAAACATGCCAATGTTAAACTGACAGCTATAAATTAAAGCTATATAGACAGGTATAAGTAATATATAACAAGTTAAGAATACTACATTTACCGGATTTTTCTTTTTAAAAATTACTGTACTTTCTTAATTCCTGTGTGCTTTGCAATAGGAATAATAGGGACTTTGTTTTCTTAGAAAAGATAATAACATGTAAGAGTATAACACAAGTAAGATAATTTATAATATACATGTACTTCAACAGCAGCCTGGTTCATGTCAACATCTTGATTCTGAAGTTGAAATTAGAAGTACATACCTAGGACATAACAGTTGGGAAAGACATTTATTTTAGGAAAAAATGGAGCAAATCAAACTCTTAGGAGCCTGGAATCTCAAAATCGTCTGTTTACTATAATATACATAAGACAACCTTAAAATTGTAGCATGATAAAGGTTACAACATGGACCAAAAAATTTTCTCTTTACTACACAAAACAATAAAAAACAAACGCTTTCTTCCTTTCCAGAAAAAAAAAAAAAAAAATGGCATGGAATGATAATGAACAAATTTTGAATAAAGTCTAATAAAATTTACCTATGCCACCTATTCTGAAATTTTTATCTGTAATTAGTGTTCTGGTGTATCTTCACTAACAAAATAACCCCGGAAGCAGCAGTCACTTATAGCAAATCTGGTACCAACATTAAAGGAAAAAAAAAAAATGGTTAAAAAACGGTGCAAAAGACTTTTTAGTACAACATATCACAGAAAATAATATGAATACAAGGTTGCAATTATACATATACACACTCCAAAGAGGCTGTCAGTACCCAAAGTATTTTTATTGCTATATTAGCAATGGATTTTTGGATGTTTTTTAAGGGCCACATAAAAATAGATTCAAGAAACAGATTAAATTGAAGTCTTAGATTAAAATGTTTGGTTTAAAGAATTTTCTACAACGAATTTCATGTTTATGTATGAAAAGTTATATAACCTTATATGAAAATGTCATGAAGTATTTTCTACACTATACTAAATGTATTTCCCAAGAGGGAAAAAATTAAAATATCTAAAATATATTAGATTAAGATTACAAGACCATCATAGATCTTTTAAACATGCATCTGTTTATAGAATTAACAGTATACAAGATGTTTATTTTATATGTACCATGAAGAAATTAGTTGGTGACAACTATCCTTTGCACAACATTATCAACTCACTTTAGCCACAAGTGTGTCCTTGGTATGTGTGTACAAGAAATATACTCATTTACCCATCATCATGTCATCCACAGGTTTACTTAGCAGTAAAAATGAAGGTGCAGAAAAATGTTAAGTGTATTCTTCTTTCTTTCAAACAACATCCCAACATGGCATAAGTAGCCTGAAATTATAAAATACTTAAATGGGCTTTTAATTATCTACATTGACTGTTAAAATATAAAGTAAATTAGGTTGCCCAAATTAGACATCAAATAACAAAACCAGCCATAAAGTAGGCTGAAAAGCATTAAATGTTTCATATATGTGAGCTTTTAAATCATTTAATTTCTATAGAAAAATTTTATTCACAATATAATGTGACAGAAAATGCCACAGGAATGATACACTGATTGCAATGAGGTTGCATGCAACAGCAGTTTTTGTATTTTATAGCTATTTTTGTTTATAAAAATTAAACCTCTCAAGTCATGCTTAGCACATGGTCTTAAATTTGTAATGTAAATGAATAAAGAATACCATATAGTTCAAAGAGAAAATGTCTCATCATTTTGAATCTGTAAGAAATATGAAGTATACTACTGAACCCTGAAACATGCATGTCTAGGTTTGCTGTCTGTCCATTTCAGGCTGTCTGCAATCACTTCCCACTCATATAATACCAAGAGGATCAGTCTGTAACTGTGGTTGTATTAGCTGAGGTTGCAGAGGTGGTGGTAACTGAAGTGGTACCATTGGTTCAACCAACTGTCCTGGATTTGAAGGCGGTGGAGGAGCAACAGTATTCACAATTTCTACAATTTCTCCATTGTAAAAGAAAAACTGACACTGTTGAATGAACGTTTCTACAACAGACTGATGGATCTTAGTGGTAGACAGAAATTCTCTTTTTTCAAAATCAGGTCTCATTAAGGTTGGCCAAAAACAGATGGATAAGTTGTCCGCTGTCATTAGGTTGATTTTATTTTGCTGACTGACCCTGAAATTATAATAGGAAAAAACAATTAGAAAAATCAAATAAATTCATGACAATTAAAAATATCCTGGAGCTAGAATTGATCTCAGATATTTAGTTTTAACTCTTATCTTTAAATTTAAAATAATTTTTTTGTGCATTCTATGTTCAACTACATTCTTATAACAGGAGAAAATAGTAGTAAAATCCATTCCTTAAAGAAATCAAAGATAGCCTTTTAAAAATGTTTTAGCTTAGGGTTTTATAATTTACTTATAGAAGCTACCTTATTTATGTGAAAAAACTTTCTCTTAGTGTAAGGACAGGTGACAAATTTCAATGAGTTTTTAGCAACAGAAACAGAAAATGCATATCCAAATTCCCTATAGTGGGATGAGAGGACAAACCATAATGTGCCATCTCTTTGAACTTTAAAAAATAAAACTTTGAACTTTGGAAAAATTACTTAATATCTTCCAACCTAGACTTTCAACTTCTAAAAAAAAAAGTAGTTTCAAGTATTTAAAAAAAGCAATATTTTCAATCATTAAATATCTTGTACACTGCTACAAACTTAATTTTAAAGCTAGTACTGATCACAGAAACATATTCCACCTTAAAATTAAAACTATGAACATATCCTATATAATAAAAGCTTAATATGCTAAATGGCCGACTGTTTAGCGGACCACTCAATCAATTGCTATGATGGGCACTGACCACTAGAGGGCAGATGCTCTGACCCGTAGATTAGCTTGCTGCTGGGGTCCTAGCAGATCATGACTGGGCAAAAGGGCTGGATACGCCTTGGAGCCCTCCCGTGGTCCCTCCCCGGTCAGCTGGCCCAGATTGGCCCCGAACAAGACTAGGTGAGACAGCCCTGATTGCCAGCCAGGCTGAGGGACCCATCTATGCACAAATTCATGCACTGGGCCTTTAATATAAATATAAAAGTATAAACAAACATTATTAACTAATTTGCATTCAGTCCTTTAAATATGTGCACAAGCATTTCTATCATCATCTATAACAAATAAGAAACATGACACAAATTCTGAATTATAACTCAAAATTATTAAAATGAGAAGAAATCTTGGGTATTTATCCAACCCTCTCATTTTATACATAAAAAAACAATCCAGCCCTTGGCCGGTTTGGCTCAGAGGATAGAGTGTTGGCCTGCTTGTGGACTGAAGGGTCCTGGGTTTGATTCTGGTCAAGGACATGTGCTGTGGTTGCAAAGGGTGTGCAGGAGGCAGTTGATCAGTGATTCTCTCACATTGATGTTTCTAACTCTCTATCCCTCTCCCTTCCTCTCTGTGGAAAATCAATTAAATATATATTAAAAAGAAAAAGAAAAAAAAAAGAATCCAGTATGCGAGGGAGTAGAATGTTATACTTAAATTTACACGACAAAAAAAGTTTAAACCAAAGGAAAACCCCAACATAGGAGTTGCTCATCTAAGGTAAATATGTGACCGAAAAACATGTTTGCTGTGGTAAATTACTGCTCTTTGTTAAGATACTGAATTACAATATTCAGAATAAATGTAGTGGCCCAAGTCAGGTGTTTTTATGCAGCAAGCAATTGTAGATTCTGAAAATACCTATAACGTTGAAAAACGTAAGAGTACAGGCATTAGGTATAATTGTTGAATCAAAAAGTACAATGAGCTCTGGCCAGTGACATAGTTGGTAGAGTATTGTCCCATGCATCAAATGGTCATCAGTTCGATTCCAGGTCAGGGCACATGCCTGAGTTGGAGCTCAATCCCCAGTTGGGGGCATGCAGGAGGTAGGTGATGATCCATGTTTCTCAAAAATCAATGAAAACATTTTTTTTTAAAGTACAAAGAAAAGGTATCAAATTAGTCAAGAGATGAGGGTGATCAGGGAAGGCTTCCTTGAAAAGTTAATGTTTGAGTTGAGTCTAGGGTGATGAGCCTTATAATGGTAGGAAAAATAATTTAGTAAAAGCTGTGGTTTTTGCCCTAATGGGTTTGGTTCAGTGGATAGAGCGTTGCACTGCGGACTGAAGGGTCTCAGGTTCAATTCCAGTAAAGGGCATGTCCCTTGGTTGCATGCATGTCTCCAGTAGAAAAGCTGATCTGTTTCCCTCTCATTGATGTTTCTAACTTTCTATCCCTCCCCCTTCCTCTCTGTAAAAAATCAATAAAATATATATATATTTAAAAACCTGTGGTTTTCTTAACTTCAGTGTATATGGGTACCTCCTGGAGGGCTTGTTGACAGAGAAAGTGAAGGATATGCACGAGATGGGGCTTGATCATTTGTATTCCTAAGGTGCTGCTGCTGCTTTGAGGACTGTTTTGAGAAAGACTGAAGTCATGTTAAGATGTTACAAGGACAGCCAAAAATCGATACTTTTTGGTTTAAAACAGTGGCATTTACTTCGTGCTAGAGAGAAAAGAAAAACTACTGATGAAGTTAGAACCAGACCAACTTAATGTTAAAGAGTTTGGACTTTTTCTTTTATATAGGATGTTAACTGGCAGGAAGAAAGTTCAATTGTAAAGAAACTAGAAACCCGATGCACAAAGATTTGTGCTAGAATGGGCTTTCCTTTCCCTGGATGATAGCACCGCCTTTCCTCTCTGGCTCAGCCCCTTTCTGCTCAGGCCCTGGAGCTGCCTCCTCAGCTCCTGCCCCTCCTTCTCATGCCAATGTAATTTTATTCTATGATGACAGCAATAAACTTAAATATTGATTAATATTCTCTTCTAAGAGGAAGAGGCTGAAATTTACCTGGTTTGAGCACTAACATTAGTTAAAAAAACAAACTTCAGTTCATATTATGAGAAATAGATTAAAAAATTAATACAAATGTAGATAATTCTATTCAATACCAACAACTTTTGTGAATCTCATTCTTCTCATAAGTAGAAAATCAAGACTTAATAAGGGTAATTTGCCCAAGGTCACAGAACTAAAAATGTTCAAGACCAAACCTGCTTGATTCCATAGTCTCAGATTTAAGCTATTATATAATACTGCCTTTTCACTTAATGTATGGCATTGGGAGGAGTATATTTAAACAAAAGGATAAGCTTGAATTTTAGTATATTTAGGGTTGCTAATAATAGATTTAATGTCCTGCATTTTAAGTAATAGTCAAGGTGAATAGTAATATGAATTCAAGTTTCTGATAAAATTTCATTGCGTCAAATATTCTAACAAAACAAGCTTAATATACAAAAGTAACAGTGATAGAAAAAGCAAATGGACTCTTAAAAGATCTGTATTCTGGTCATGTGTCATTTATTAATTACTAGAGGCCCGGTGCAAAAATTCGTGCATGGGGGAAGGGGGCAGTGTGTGTGTGACCCTCCTGCATCCTCTTCAATTTAGGACTCCTTGGGAGACGCCCCAATTACTGGTTTAGGCCCAATCCCTAAACTAGCAGTCAGACATCCCTCTCACAATCCAGGACTGTTGGCTCCTAACCGCTTGCCTGCCTGCCTGATTGCTCCCTTGCTGGCCCGATCGCCCCAACTGCTCTCCCCTGATGGCCCAATCATCACCAACTTCCCTGCCCTGCTGGCCTGTTTGCCCCCAATTGTCCTCCTCTGCAGGCGTGGTCACCCCTAACTGCTCTCCCCTGCCATCTTGTGACAATGTGCGGGCAGCCATCTTGTGACAATGTTGCATCATGTGGCGCCACCTAGGCTTTTATTATATAGGATATTTCCTCCTTTAAACCTAAATTTTTCCAACTTCAAATAGGTTGATTTGGTTAATTACCTAACTGTATACTTAAAATTGTAAGATTCTGCAAAAGAGAACTATTAAAGAATAAAAGTAACAATAAAGAACATATACTCTTGGTTGCAGGCAAATCCCCAGTAGGGGGTGCGCAGGAGGCAGCTGATTTATGCTTCTCTCTCACCCGATGTTTCTAATTCTCTATCCTTCTTCCTTCCTCTCTGTAAAAGATCAATAAAATATATTTAAAAAAAAAAAACCACATGTACTCACCACACTTCCTATTTAAATAATCATTACATGTATGAAGAGTCATACACCAAAAACAAGTTGATGAGAATCTATTTTAATAATACATAAAAAATAATTTAGAAACTAAAATTGAACTGTATGCTTAGGACATTTTCTGGTCCTCCAAGATGGCTGCGCCCAGGTGAATACCTAGCTGCAGCCTCACACAACAATTTCAATAAAATACAACAAAAATATAAAATGGACATCACCCAGAACTACAGGAAAGTTGACTGACTGGAAATTCTACAACGAGAAGCAAGGAGAAAACCAGAAGGAAGCGCAGAGGAGCTGGAAAAGCCCAAGGTACGGAGACACGAGGCGCGCGGAGAGGACGGAGCCGGAGAGGAGGGAGGCGGAGTGCCTGGCCGGCGTTCCCAAGCGGGAAGGAGATAAAACTCCGACTGTGCTGGGCCCCCGACTGCTCTGAATCCCAGGCCTAGGCCAGACCCCGGGGACCCAGGCTCAGCCAGAGGGAGCTGGGCTGCGAGGCGGAACCCGGGGAAGCTGCGAAAGGAGGTCCCGGCGGTGGCGCCCAGTGCGCGCAGAGAAGGGACGGCCGGCTGTGCCGCAGGATTGCCTGGCGGGAAGGAGACAGGGGCTCCAGTCTGCTCTGAACGCCACCTCCAACTCCACTTCCAACTGAACTGAACCCCAATACCGGGCTCATTGGGGGAGAGCATTGACTGTTTGGCAGCAGGCGAAAATCGAAGGCGCCTTTCTCTCAGAGGCGCTTACAACAAGTACTGAAGGACCCTGAGTCTCAGGAGTCGCATAGGGCGGGGCTGACGGAAGCCAAAGCTGTAGGCTCCTCCCTGAAACCCCGCCCCATCAGGAAAGCTGCCTGCAAAAATGCCTAAACCAAATAGATCACAAACGAAAGAAATGGAGGACAAAAAGCGTCTGGATATAGAGTTCAAATCTACACTTATAAGGTTTTTCAAGAATTTCCTAGAAAAGATGGATAAGACCTATGAGGACATGAAAAGAAATCAACTAGAATTAATAAGGAGTCATCAAGAAATGATAAGGGAACAACAAGAAATAAAGAATACATTGTCTGAAATAAAAAATATTTTACAGAGTCCTAAAAACAGAAGGGAAGATCGCAAGAATCAAGTCAAAGATTTGGAACATAAAGAGCCAGAAGACACTCCTCCACAGAAGCTAGAAGGCAAGAGAATCCAGAAAATTGAAGATAATGTAAGAAACCTCTGGGACAACTTCAAGCGAACCAACATCAGAATTATGGGGGTCCCAGAAGATGAGAGAGAGCAAGATATCGAAAACATACTGAAAGAAATAGTGACAGAAAACTTCCCCCACCTGGGGAAAGAATTAGACTTACAAGTACAGGAAGCGCACAGAACTCCAAACAAAAGGAATCCAAAGAGGACCACACCAAGACAAATCATAATTAAAATTCCAAGAGCAAAAGACAAAGAGAGAATATTAAAAGAAGCAAGAGCAAAGAAGGTAGTTACCTATAAAGGAGCACCTATACGATTGTCAGCTGACTTCTCAACAGAAACCATGCAGGCCAGACGGGAATGGCAAGAAATATTCAAGGTGATGAATAGTAAGAACCTACAGCCAAAGATAATCTATCCAGCAAAGCTATCACTCAGAATCGAAGGTCAGATAAAGAGCTTCACTAATAAAAAAAAGCTAAAGGAGTTCATCAATACCAAACCAGACTTATATGAGTTGCTGAAGGGAGTTCTTTCAGAAGAGAAAGTAAACAAAGATAAAAATTATGAACAACAAATACGTAACTATCAACAAGTGAATCTAAAAACCAAGGAAATTAAAAAAAAAATCTGATGAACAATAGTAACTGTTGAATATAATAGAATCAGAGGTATGGAAGGGGAGTGAACTGACGATTCTTGGGGAAAAGGGGAGAGGGGGTGTGGGAAGAGACTGAACATAAACTGTGCACCTATGGATGAGGACAATGGGGAGTGGGGAAAGGGCAGAGGGTGGGGTGGGAATCTGGTGGAGGAGAGCAATGGTGGGGGGGAAGGAACAGTTGTAATAATATGAACAATAAAAACTTATTAAAAACAAAAAAAACAAAAAAAAAAAATAAAATAAAATAAAATTGAACTGTATGCTTAAATAAGTTGGTGTCTCTTTTTCTACTTTAAAATTACCAATTTATAAAGTTACATGTTTGAAATCTATTCTGAATTTTATTTGCAAAAGGATAAAAATATAAAAATACCTGTTTAGATGTGTTATTACATATCTGAATACATCATAGTTTACAGGATGAAACTTCTTAACAATTTCTTTCAATGCATGAAGACGTTCTGTTTTATCTGGGATTTCTGTAAAGTTAAAGCAGTAAGGTATTTGTGTGAAACTCATACATTTAAAAGTATTTTATAAGGCTTCTTACTATCCTTATTGTAAAGAAACAATCAGGAATGTGTTTGAATCATATTAGGATAGCTAAACAAAAACAAAGAAAATGTTCTAAAGAAACTGCTAAAAACACATTATCAACTATTGCAATAACCTGTTTGCACGTAAAGCTAATCACTATAGAACAAAGTTGACTTAAGATGGTAAAATGGGAAAGATTACAACAATTTATATTAATTTAGAATCAATTAATTACTTATAAAACAGGCTCTTAAGTGTCACCAAATTCCTTTTTCATTTTGCTTAACCATTCTCAGCTTGCAAACACCTATAAAAATTTGATGGCCAGTTGAATTTGACCTGTAGGTCATAGTTTGCCAATACCTGATTTAAAAGCACCCTATTTATAATCCACTTTGCTTACTGAAAATCTTTCTTGACAAGCAGTACAAACATTTAGCTCAGCTACTCTCTAAATTTATGCAAATCATGAAACAGGATAATAGAAATTTGCAGTAAATAAGAGATAAGAGAGTGCTTTACTGCTCTTCCAAAAAGTAGCAATGGTTACTCTGGAGATCAATCTGCATACCAACTCACAGTAGGTAGTATAACCAAGTACTAACAAATGTGATTTGCCACAGATTACTTCTAAATCAGTATCAAAAACTTCCTAAGTAGGAAAATTCTGAGGCTGATATTTATTAAGAAAATATAAGCTATCAAGTGAACCATTTTCCAATTTATATATGAAAGTCTGTGTAAGGCTTTATACTATGTACTTTTTTTTTTAATGAAAAGTTTTTTAACTGAGAACTTTAACATAATCAAAATTATAAGAAAGTAGTTTCACTTTAAAGAGCCTTAACACTTGTAAACAAAAGGAAATAGAGAGAAATACTTAAAAAAAAACACTCATTTTTTGAGGAGAAATTGTGGAGTAAGCACTAAGTTACCCAATGCTTGAATAGATCTTCTATGTCATTTTTTCAGGTAACAAATGAGTATTTGTTTAATAGAAATAGCGAGATAAATGATGCCAAAGCAGGAATAAGTACTGAATAAGTATTCTTTCTTCCTGCCTTCTTTTAAATGACTTTAGACATGAGGCCAAAGTTAATTTCACTCTAACTGAAAAGTTTATTTAATTTTCCTACAATGCCTTTGAGTTTGAATTAAAAACATAACTCTCAAACTTCTAGTACAATGATCTTCAACTTCTAGGGGTATCCACTCAACTGGAAGACAAACAAAAACTAAATATTTCTGGGGAACCAACTCTAAGAATCTTGATGTTTTATTTATATAGCTTAATGTTATAAGAAAAAAAATTATTAGTTACACATTCCAGTGCATGGCTAATTTTAACACATAGCAATCAATATACAACACCCATCATCCCTCTCAAGGAAGAAAGGGAAGGAAGGAAGGGAAGGGAAGGGAGGGATGGAAGAGAAGGAGGGAAGAAAAGGAAGAAAGAGAAGGGAGGGAGGAAAGGCTTATACTTACTTGCAGCTTCCAATAACTCTGGATGAAGAGAATATGGAATTAAAGGATCTGGCAGATCAGCAAAGAAAGCTTTAAGAGCTCCAGCTACAGCATTTACTGTTACTTCCATTGATACTAGACTGATATTATGATCTAGAAGACAAAAATATATTAATTTACAATTTATGTAATAAATTTAAGTTATTATAGAAGTACTTAAGTCTTCTCATCAGCCACCTTTGTTTACAGGCTGATTCATCTCTCTTCCAGGTGTTAACATAGATAAACTATAAGGATAAGGAAACAGAGAATCAAGCAAGAAGCTTAATTAGTATAATAAAGAACATTAGCTTTTACTAATATCTATGTTTAAAATATTTTGTTTATATAAGCTATTTAAAAGAGGCCATAAAGAAACAAAAACAAAACATAGAAATTATAAATACAAATTCAAATTTACACGTTTTAAATTATACTTAAAAATCTATCTTATATAATAATCCTATATAATAAGAGGCTACTATGCAAATAGACCAAACGGGGGAACAACCAGTTGCTATGACATGCGCTCAACACCAAGAATCATGCAAGGAACACGGTGGGCATTGGCTGCAGCAGGATGAAGGTGCGTGGGGGCGCCAGACCAAGGCGGGATGCCAGTCACTATAATCGGGACAAGCCTCCAGTGGTTAATGAAAGTTCTTTGCTCCCGTGTACTGTGGTCCAGCCTGGCACTTGCACCTGCAGCAGGCACCAGAGCCACTGCTTGCACCCTCTGCTGGTGCTGGGCACCGGTCCCAATCGCCCATGAGGGCTTCTCTACCTCCCCCTGCTCCTGAGAGGTGGTTGGGGCAGCAGCTGCAGCTTGCACCCATTGATCCTCTTGCACCCAATACTGGTGCTGGCCCCAATCGCTTTCAGCGCATGGGACCAGCGGTGGCAGGATCAGGGCTGCCGACAGACAGGGGACCAAGGGGTGTGGTGGAAAGGGCTGGGTGGGGATGTGGAGGCCCGGTGCCTACGGCAGCATCGTGGCCCACAGTTCCTGTCAAGGTGCATAAATTCATGCACTGGGGCCTCTAGTCTGTTTCAGTAAAAGGGTAATATACTAATTAGACTGGGAGCCTTCCAGATGTCCTTCAGGACAAAGCCATGGAGGCCGAGGCAGAGGCATTTGGTGGCAATCAGACCAGGAAGAGAGGGCAGTTGGGGATGATCAGGCCAGTGGGGGCGGGGGACAGTTGGGGGTGAGCAGACCAGCAGTGGAGGGAAGTTGGAGGTGAGTAGGCAAGCAAGGGGGGGGGGGGCAGTTGGGGGCAAGCAGGCTGATAGAGTGGTTAGCGGTGATGAGGAAGGGCAGGCAGGTGAGCAGTTAGGGACCAGCGGTCCTGGATTGTCAGAGGGATGTCTGACTGCTGGTTTAGGCCTGATCCCTATAAACTGGCAGTTGGACATCTCCTCAGGGGTCCCAGATTGGAGAGTGCAGGCTGGGCTGAGGTGTGCCCTCACATAAACAAATTCCATGCACTGGGCCACTAGTAGGATTGGTGTTCCCAAAGGAGTTCAAATTATTCATTATATTTACTTGCTCCTTTTAATTCTTCTTCTAGAGTGAGAGTGAGGACAGTTTTTTACTCAGTTATATTTTATAATAAGAATTGTATTGGAACCTACTACTTTTTTGGCTATTTACGGGTTTACCTTACCAGAACTCAGAGAGACGTTAAGCCCTTTGAAGATAGGGACAGAGCTGTATTGTATTTCTATAATACAGGCACAAAGTTAATACAACTTTTACAAATATTTGAAGAAACAGATAAATTTCAGTATCCCATTCTTCTGTTCCATCTCTTTATTGAGACTTTTGTGCAAAGCATAAGGCTGAGGGGATGAGCAAGTAGTGCTAGCGGAGTAAAGTTGCTTTTTCCAAGCCCTAGATCCCATACTTTGATTTTACATAGAAGATGCATTTCTGAATGACATTTTGAATTGGGTATATTAGATTTTGCTAATATCAACTCAGATTATTTTTAATGATGTTTATTTAAATGGTTCTACGAGGTGCAAAATACTGTGCTTATTTCAAGAATCTTTGTGCATTCTTTCTGTAGTAAAGTGAATTATTAACATAATAAATCTATTTGGGGGGTCTGCTTAAAATGAGACACACCAGTACTAAATTCGGTTTTAACAATAACTGATTTGCACACCAAGTATAGAGTTAGATGGCTGTTGGACATAACCAGTTTTTTTGGTCCCTTTGCTCCCACAGCACCTGCTTCAACCAGAGGTGGTGCTTTGACCCTTCATGACCTTGGTCATGGTGACTGACCACAGGGCGTCTACTGCCTGAGGCCTTGGCAGTCAGCTGGGCATTGACCTTCCCAAGATGGCGGCAACCTGATAAAAGTGCATGAGGGGTAGTGTCCCCTTGGCAGAGGTGAAGCATGGAGGCACAGGGGCAGAGCTTTTAGGCAGGCTGGCTGAACCCCACAGAGTTGCAACCATAGCTTCCCTCCTCCTCTTATCTCTTCCCCTGCCAGCGGGCTGATGGTTGAGAGGAGCAGCAGCCACTGATCAGGCCGGATGCAGAGGGTGGGGATCCTGAGGCGCCGGTGTCAGCTAGGCGGGCGGGCATTTGTTTCAATGGTTTCAGAGGGTGTTGGGAGTGGAGACGTGCCCCAGCCTCTGCTATGGGACGGGGCCTGGAAAGAGGGAGGCTCCCCCGCCCCCACTGCTGGGTGGGATGTTGCAGAGGAGGGGATGTGGATCCCTAGCCCCGACCCACCCGCCCAAGGCAGGTCATGGGCTCTGGCACCCCTGAGGTCAGACCCTTGGGGACAAGAAGGAGCATCGGGGCCTGCCCCATAGCGAGTCCCTGGCCCGCGTGTCTGAGAAGCAGGCGGGCAGCAGGTGGCAAGAGTAGATGGAGAAATTGGCTCTGGGCCGGATAGGTGAGGTGCACAAAATTTCCGCCTGGGCAGCGTTGGCGTGCAGAGTTATGGGGGATAACAAAGCGCTGGCATCCGAGGCCTTGATGGTTGGCATGGGGGGTGTGAGAACCTGGCGTGGCGCAGGACACAACTCTCCTGCCTCTACCTGGCATGGGCTCCACTGTACTGCTGGCAGGAGGAGGGCAGGGGCTGGCCCAACACAAGCCCCTCACTGCTTGCCATCTGCTGCAGCTCATTAGTTCCCTATGGACTGGGGGAGTCGACCAGTGGAGCCCACAGTATGTGGCAGCAGCTGTGAAGGTCACCACAGCAATCCAGCACTGACTGCAGGGCTGACTTCCAGTTGGTCATTACAACCCCTTTTATATTATTAGGATAATTAGTTGGACTGATTATCATAGAAAAATTTTTTTAGATCACATTTTTAAATAAATACTATCTGTGATATACAAAGATGCCAATGTGTCATAAATCAATTTACTATTTTTCTAATTCTAGTAGTAGAGCTATAGCTCTCCTGTTTCTTGACTGTGGTATCTTCTATTAAATGAGTGGCCTGGTGCACAAATTCATGCACACTGAAAGGAAATTAATTCGAATAAATATTTTACTGTTGCTCTTTGCTCTTTCTCTATAATGTAAGTGCCAACCAAATTCACGATCAACAATGATGGAAACATACACACATGCCATTGGTGCTAGAGAGAGCTTTATATGTATTATGCATGCATAACATAGCAGTAAATATCAATATGAAGATTATTATTATATATAATGCAGGAAGAACAAAGGGTAAAATATTTAACTGTAGCAGTGTTTGACTATATTCTGCACAGTGAGAAAACCTGAAGTCATTTTCTTTTTAAAAAATACAAGTTTTTATTGATTTTAGAGAGGAAAGGAGAGAAAGAGAGAGAGAGAGAGAGAGAGAGAGAGAGAGAGAGAGAGAGAGAGACAGACAGACATCAATGATGAGAATCACCTATCGGCTGCCTCCTGCACACCCCTCACTGGAAATCAAGCCCCCAATCTAGGCATATGCCCTGATCAGGAAAATCAAACCATGACCTCCTGGTTCATAGATTGACGCATAACCCATGAGCCACGCTGGTCCGGCCTGAAATCATTTTCAAGGTCCACCATTTCTTATTTCTTTTCAGTCGTGTCAAGTTTCTAAGCTTTCTAAATCTCCGTTTTCCGCTAATGAAAGAAAATAGGATTCCACCGAGTCTCCTATCTAACTACTCCAGGACTTCTGTGAGGATCAAATGAGACGAGGCATGAAAAAAAACACTTCACAGACATTTGGTTAGTGTAAAATGTTTCCACCTGGCTACCAAGTAAGTTGTGTTCCTGGGCTGAAGAAACTGCAAGGAAGGAGGCTAGTCACTAGGAAGATGAAGCCAGGTGCTGCTCTGTGATGTCATTCATTACCCAGCCAGACATTTAGCATATTAACCATATATATATATAATATATAACCATAATATATATTTCTAATTCCACTTCAAAACTCTCTCCCTTCAACATCTATATCCTTAGAAGGTTTTCACATGAAAATCAATCTTCTCACCATGAAATTTTAATAAGAAAAATGAAACAATTTTATTTTATATAATTATCACCTTACCTTGATCAAACTGCTTTTGAATATTGTCTTGGTCAGTTTTGTTCCCACTAACACGGTAGAGTCCTTCAGTACATAATCCTAAAAAAATAAAGAGATATACGTAACTCTTATGTACATGTTAGCTACTTAAAAAAAATAGTGGTAAAATATTTTAGAGTATTTTTTGAGTATTTTACTTAAAATAAGTTGTTAATAGAGAAGGTCCTCAGGTTATGTTGATCAGTTCCTGAGGTGTGACGTAATGTGATTTTCACCATAAGTCGGAACCCACCTACATAAGCACCTATGTCACTCACATGGAGCACATACACAGCAGTAGTGAAGTGAAATAGTAAAAAAATTTAAAAGAAAGATAACAATTCCTGATCTAAATAATAAAAAACAAAGCACATATATACATACGTCAAAATGATGGAACTTTTTAAAAATATAAATAAATGGGAGATGGCGATGTAATGACATACATCGAGTCTGACCTAATCCAAGGACTGTCGGTAGACTTTTTATTTTAAACCATTTAGGATATTCAGTTTCACACAAATGAAAAGACACATTTCTCCCTAATCCTTCCACTAAACACAACCCCTGAATCCAATATATAAAAAACAAACATCAAAAGCCTCTGAATGGTGGAGAAATGAAGGTATACTGGCTAGTGACCCTGGATCTTGAGGAACAACATGACAATGAGTTCCCTGGGTTTTCTTTTTTGCCTCTTATATATCCTTGACCTGGCAAAAGAGGAACCTGCAACCCAGAAACACCAATGAGCACAGGCAAAATATAAAAATAAGACAACACACATAAAGCCAACAGCAATAAAAGCCTGCTTTTTTTATTTAACAAATTAGAAACAGTACAGCATAGCAATCACAACAAACATTTTTATTATAATCACCCTAACTCTAGTCAAATGCCCTGATCCCACCACTCCTCACATATATCACTGGTGACCAAGCAAAGAAACTAGAATTCCACCTCTACCCAACAGTAACTAAGTGCTCTTTAAAATCCTTGGAGTGTCAGGAGGGGGAGAAGATAGCCTAAATTTCCACCCTTCTTCAAGGTAAGGGGGACCTTCTCTCCTCCCCACCATGCAGTGTCAGTAGAGGTTAGTGGAGACTCAATACCCCCACCTTGCAGTAGCACAGCAACCTTTCTCCCCTGACAGTTGAAGGCCAGAAGAGGCCAGCTAAAATAGAATATTTAGATATGATCCAAATACTCATAGCATAATATCCCAAGTCAGAGTTCTTTGAAGAAAAGGCTGATTCCAAGGCTGGAAAAAAAAAGTCCATCCATACAGTAAAATGCCAACCAATAAACAGGGAAAATAGTAGAGATTTTTAAAAAATTCATCAATGGAGACTAAGACTTTATAGCTGAAAGTATGATGACAGCCTTAAAGTCAAAAAAGACAAAAGAAGTTTAGAAACCCTCAAATTAAAGGTGTTGAAAAACACATGATCACTAAATGCAATGTACCTAGATTAGATCATGAGCTGCCCCATTAATAAAATTAAATAGCCCAAAATGTCAATAGTACTGATGTTGAGATAACCTGACATAGTGATAAGCTTTTAGTATTATTTGCTAAGTGAAAATTATAAGGTCCTTAATCATCTATGCCAAAAATCTTGCCTTCTATTCACTAATAATTGAAAGATGTGAAAAAAATTAATAATAACATTAACTCAATTATCTAAATGTAATTATCCAACTTTTATTTAGACTTCAATCATTTAAATCCCAAAGGTTCTATTCAGAGCCTACAAATAACAAAAGCATTAGAAATCTATCCCAACATTACAGAATTAAATATAAAAATTTAAAATGGTAACTTTTAACCAAGTAGCACCATCTTTTTTCTTTTAGTAGGTAACCAACCATTGCACCACACAGAATTCTTGATAGCCAATGTTCTAAAATGTACTGAGTTCTTTTGAGTTGCTAGTATATACAAGGGTTTCACCTTTGTTTCTCTATACCTTCAGGTTAAAATAATTATAAAATAAATAGTCATAAAATAAATTAAAAAGGGTAAAGAAGTAAAATATATAGATAGTCCATAAATTAAATAGGTACAAGGGGAATAGCATCAGCAAAAGAAATGAAAATGGCAAGTTCACGATTTGGTTCTTTCATAAAAGCCACAAATTAGCTGCCAAAAAGTGTCAGAATCAACTTTTGCAGAACCCTAGAATCTAGTAAAAAAAAAAAAAAAAAAAAAAAAAAAAAAGTCACAACTATCAGAACAAGGTTTGGTGAAGATAGAAGCCTTAAATTGCCCACCTACCATCCCACCATACCCCAGACTAGGAACTCTGGGTGCAGGCTGCAAGTGTCAGAGGGAGCAATACAGATCTTATTGTCAAAGAATTGTTGTTTTGGCCTGTATAGTGTGGCTCAGAGGTTGACTGTCGACCCATGAACTAAGAGGTCACCGCTTCAATTCCCATCAGGGCACACGCCTGAGTTGCAGGCTCAATCCTCAATAGGGGCCATGAAGGAGGCAGCTGATTGATGTTTCTCTCTTGTTGATGTGTCTACCTCTCTATTCCTCTTCCTTCCTCTTTCCCTAAGATCAATAAAAACATATTAAAAGAAAAAAAAAAGAATTGTGATTGTGGATTTCAACCTGTTTGGCAGCTCCTTGAAGGAAAAGCATAAGAGCTTGCCTATATTTTACTCAACCTGAAGTGTTCCCAGGGTTGGAGTAACTTCTCTTAAGCATTCAAAGGCATAAATATTGGCTATATCAATGTGGGGAAAGGAGCAAAAGTTAGGACCAGCAATAAACTGAAAAGCCTAGGAGGGAAGATGTTGGGGAAAATAGATAGTAGGGGAATAGGGTTTTTATAAACTCCTACATATAGTACTGGGGAGTTGAGAAATCCACATGCACGCCCAGGGCTGGATGTATATTCAGAAAATGGCTGGCAAGATTCTAAACGTTCACCTCTAGCTGGCCATTAGGCTATGTCCAAGCTGAGGGTGACGGTTTAGGCAGTTATAAATGGTTTGGTTTAAGGGCTGAAAGAGTTCCACAGAGCTAATCTGCAAAGACTTAGAAATACTTTCTTTCCATGGCTCAGGCATTTTAAGGGAACTGTCAAAACACTAGCTAACCATTTAAGCTCCAGAATACAGACTTCAGTGGACACAACGTAAGAAAATATAGACTTTAAATATATAGTTTGCAGACTGAAGGGTCCCAGATTTGATTCTAGTCAAAGGTGCATGCCCTGTTTGCTGGCTCAATCCCCAGTTGGGGGCATGCAAGAGGCAGCTAATCAATGATTCTCTGTCATCAATGATGTTTCTATACCCTCTCCATTCCTCTCTGAAATAAAAATATACTTAAAAATATATATCATTTAGAAAAGTCATAGAACAAGCAAACATAGTCAATATACAGCAACAGCAAACCCTGGTGATGGGGAACAATCTGATTTTCAGATATGCTATAATATAATATGTAAGACCTGTTATTTTCTCTCTCGTTTTTTCCTTACACTTATTTTTATTTAATTATTTATCCTCACCCAAGAATATAATATTTTTCCATTGACCTTTTAGCGAGAAGATAAGGGAAGGGGAGAGACACACAGAGAGAAACATCGATGTAAGAGAGACAGACACATCGACTGGTTGCCTCCTGCATGTGCCCCACCAGCGGCTAAGGATCGAGCCTGCAACCAAGATATATGCCCTTGACTGGAACGAACCCAGGACCCTTCAGTCTGTGGGCCAATGCTCTATCCACTGAGCTAAACCGGCTAGAGCTGAAAACTGTTATTTTCAACAAAAAATTAAAAGGCATGCAAAGAAATAAAACAGGATGGTACATTCCAGGACAAAAAGTAATTAATACAACCTGTCCATGAGGAAAACAGTTATTGTGCTTACTAAAGACTTTAAATCAACAGTTTCAAAAATTCACAGGAATTATATCCCCAGTGGGGAACGTGTAAGAGGCAGTTATCAATGATTCTCTCTCATCGTTGATGTTTCTATTTCTCTCTCCCTCTCCCTTCCTTTTTGATATCAATTATATATATGAACTTAACAATTGTTTGAGATTATCCAGTCAGTAAGCAAAACCAGAAAAATAATGAAGAAAAATGAATAGCACCAAAAAGATTTCTGGGACACCATCAAGCATAACAACATATACATACAAAGGCTTTCCCTGATATAAAGAAAAATATGTGAAGAAATAATGGCTGAAAAACCTAAATTTTGAAAAAAAAATTCCACAAATCTACATATCTAAGAAGTTGAAACTGCAAGCAGGATGAACTCAAAAGAGAGCTACATGAAAAGAGAGAGAGAGGGAGAAGGAGAGAGAAGTGAGTCATTACATCCTAGGAATTCACAATAAAAATTCTCTTCAGAAAAAGAGAGGGAAAACTATCAACCATGAGTTATATATCTGGCAAAACTATCATTCAAAATGAAGAAAAAGTTAAAGATATTCTTAAATAAATAAAAATTGAGGGAGTTTATCACTAGAGGACACATACTACAAGGAATGCTAGTGGGGGTCCTCCAGTAACCTGAAGTAATACAAAAGCTAAATAACAAAGATAAAAGATGTTACATAGGTAAGTATATAAATACTGTATTTTTGATTTGTAAATTTCCTGTTGTTACTATACGACTTAAAGAAATGCATAAAATAATAATTATACATCTATGTTATAGGTATATATGTATAAAAATGTAATTTGTTACAATAGCAATACAAAGGAGGAGACAGTTGTAAAGAAGCAGAGTTTATATACTATTGAAACAAAGTTTTTTTTAATTAAAATCTGATCGCTATAAAGTTAAGATGTTAATTTTAATGCCCAGAATAATGACTATGAAAACAATTTTTAAATATACAGAAGAGAAACAAGAAGGGGATCGAAGGTCACATTAGAAAAAAATCGCGAAAGAAAGCAATACTATAGGAATTGAGAAACAAAAGGTTTAACACATAAAATAGGGAAATGGTAGAATTAAGTTCTCAGAAATTACTTTTAAAATGGGTCACACAACAAAATAATCCAAGTTAATGAACTCCCAAAACT